GCTTGTAAAGAACCGCATGTGTCCATTTGATGTGTCCATTCCACATTAATTAAGTAGAGAAAGTTATCCTGCCTGGCATTTGATAGAAAGAGCAGTCTGCTAGCATTAGTTTTACCTTCTCCCAGGAAAACACAGCTGCAAGACAAAATGGTCTTGCCCTTCTTCAGGTTTTTGCACCCAATGCCTGACTCTCTTTTCTTCCTGATGTCCCATTTTGACAGCAGCATCCAACCTGAACTCTGGGGATCCTTGATTGCCTCATTGCAATTCAGCTAATCTCTACATCCCTTCAAATACAAACAATACTAATAGTGATTCCAACAAATCTAGTGTAGTCCTAATGCTTTCTAGATTTATTTTCCTAAAAAGGGAGCATGCCAGTCAGTCTAGAAAATACATTTGGATTGCATATTGGAGGACCAGGATTGGCAGGATTGGCAGAGCTCTAATTGTATGTTTTGAATTTTTCCTCCATGTCACATTTTTAATAATTTATTTATTTCCATTTTCTCCATTCTCCTCCCCAATATGTATACTGCAGAATAATTGCAAATACAGTTTGTGTGAAGAAAACAAAGTCTCTTTCTGTATCCCTTTAGAAAGCCGAAAGCTTTTTATGAGATAGGAAAAGTGATATTTTCTATTAGCCACCTTAGTAGACTGTAAAAGACTTCGGGGGTGATTGAAATTGAGGATAGATTTTATATTCCACCATTCGTCCCCCAAATGCCTCCCATTTCAGCTTCCAAATGTCAGCAATTAGGCACTCCCTTCCTTAGGATTCTTTTCTACATGATATGGGACTAAGGGAAATGTAATTTGGAGGAATGTTTGGCGTATGGAAGATTCTTACTATGAAACATCGAACAGGTTCTGTGTTGGGTGTTCCTTGAAGAATACCTCATAGAAAAAATAATACATATGAGATGCTATTCCACCAATGATGAAGTCACCTGGCTGGTACCAGTCATGTGGAACAGGAATAGGATCATTCACAGGGCACCTCATGGTATAAGAGGGACCAGAAAGAGGAAGTATTAGAAGCAGCAAAACCAGTAACAGCAACATTCTGGCAGTCTAGCTTCTATCTGAATGCAGACTCTCCTGTCTTCATTCATTCTATTTTCCTAAGAAAAGGCTACATTGAAAGATGCATGGCTCTGTTCTCTCAGTCCTATAATTGAGAGTGTGATCTGCCTCTGAGTGCTACAAACAATGCATTTCTTGAATACTAACAGATATCACATATTCAGAAATTAAATTGGCATATCCCTGTGTGCCTCTGGACCCAGCTCTCAGTACACAGGATTCGTTATAACCACTTTCAGGCTTGCTTGTTGATTGTTTTCTAGTTGCTTCCAGGAAGCATTTGGAGGTTTCAGCTGGTGAAGAAATTGCAGTGATTTGGGTAATTACAGGGTAGGATTATGATTTATTTCTTCAGAGTCTGGTGTCTGAGTGGCAGTTTTGCTTTATAAAAAAATCCCATTCTGCTCCTTATAGGCAGAAGAAGTGACCGAATGAATTTTCCATGGTGAGCTAATGACATGATCACTGTGCCTCATGTTACAGACACTTCAGGTTGCGTTTTTTCAGGTTATGGACCGCCGAAACCCGGAAGTACCGGAATGGGTTACTTCCAGGTTTTGGCGGTCACGCATGCACAGAAGCACTAAATCACACTTTTCGCATGCACAGAAGCGCCGAATCGCAACCCGCACATGTGCAGATGCGCAGATGCGGGTTGCGAATGCTGTGGGTTGCGAACGTGCATTCCGCACAGATCACATTCACAACCCAAGCGTCCACAGTACTGTCTTGGATCCTGCTGAAAACGTTTCTATTTTTGGGCCTACCTGGACATTTATTTCCATTTCTTTTGCTGTTCAATTTGTGTGACATAAATTACCCTGCTAAGGTTAAAAATTAAAAGTGCTGATGATGTAACAAAATTGATTAAAGTGATTAAAGTTTATTGATTGATTAATTGATTAAAGTTCATTGATTAAAGTGCCATCTTAGATTATCCCAGAAAGAGCCACCCCATTCAGGGGAGTATATACTTACCCTCCATATTAGCCAAAAAAGTATTTAGGGTTCAAGAAAGTGTTGTGGTCCATTAATATTACCTAAAATGCTATCAGGGGTGCCAGCTATAGCGGGCAGAAAGGGCTTCAGTTCCCTCCATATTTCAAGGCAAGGGGATGAGCCCCCTCCCCATTATTGAGGGGGCCACCATCCCTCACTGCCCCTCGGCAAATGCTGGCCTGCTGGTTTGGGATAATAGGGTTGCAGGGTAAAATCAGAATTAGGAGTTAACCTTGCCTGGAGTGTTTGTATGTGTGTGGAGGTCTGTTATAACTGTAGGAATGCCTTCAGAAAGAAACTTGCGAGGGGAGCTGCATAAAAACACAGCTGTCTTGGTTTATTAGCCTCCACTGTATAGGAATGTATTGGGGAGGTGCATGGAGCTCCACCATAACTTACCATAATTACCAATTTGCCCATTTTTTACTTAGCCTGCAGCCCAGCTCCCTTCATATCAGCCCCGAGTTTGCAGTGTGCCCTTAACCACTTCCTGTGGATTTCGCAGTGACCCTTTCCCTCGTGAAGAGCGGAGAGAGAGGTGGGAAAATGAGAGAAAGATGAGAGTTTGTGCATCTTTGTGGCTCCCCTTGCAATCACAATTCACATTGAGAGGAGGTGAGTAGAGAGAGAGAAACATCTATGCAGATATTTGTGTTATTGTAAAAACTGTTGGAAATGCAAAGTTGTTTGGAGCAGAATTGAGCTGCTGCTGCTGCTGTCGCCTGCCTGCCGGCCTGTACGCAGGGAGAAAGGGGAGCAAGAGAGTCAGCTCCTTAGTTGAAAGGCTGTCAGCAAAGGGCTCTCTGCAAAGCAAAGATCCAAGCCGCCTGGGGATCTTGGAGCTGGTGGATCCAGCTAGAGCAGGATGGATGCCATGCTGTCCCTGGGGCGCCAACCTCACTCCCCTCCTGGCTGGCTTGCTGGGTCAAGCCCACCACTCTCACTGCCCTCTTTTTCAGTCTTTCCGGTGCCAGCACGCTAGGCTTCACCTGCCCCCTTACCTGCTTGTCCCTCCACTAAGTGCTTGTCCCAGGAGATGGCTGTCCATTTTGGGCCTCTTGCCAGGGGGTGGGGATGCCCATGAACACTGGCATGGAGCACGTCAAAAGGACTCCTATGCATCCCGGAAGGCTTGGCATCGTGGGGATCGTGCATGTGACATCATGCAAGGCCCCCTCCCCCAATGTTTGTCCCAATTTGGCACGCCTGCATGTTTCTTTGCTTAAGCAAATATAGTTCAGTATTATACAACAGAGTAATATAAGGTAAAAGTAAAAGGACCCCTGACAGTTAAGTCCAGTCGGGAACAACCCTGGGGTTGTGGCGTTCATCTCGCTTTACAGGCCGAGGGAGCCAGCGTTTGTCCACTTCACAGACAGTTTTTCTGGGTCATGTGGCCAGCATGACTAAGCCGCTTCTGGAGCAATGGAACACCGACACCAGAGCAGTGCACGGAAATGCCGTTTACCTTCCCCCCAGAGCGGTACCTATCAATCTACCTATTGGGGTGCTTTTGAACTGCTAGGTTGGCAGACGTTTGGACCGAACAATGGGAGCGCACCCTGATGCGGGGATTCGAACTGCCAACCATTTGATCGGCAAGCCCACAGCTCAGTGGTTTAGACCACAGCACCACCCACATCCCATAATATAAGGTAAATTGCACCCAAATAATATATATATTAATAAGTCAATGCAAAGTAAATCAAAGCCATCACTCAATCTACATGTTCCAATGCATTTGTCCATTGTTTTCCTAACCACAAAAACTCTTTATTGCTGAGTTTCTTGTGCTAGTGCAGGAGTCAGGTACATTTTCCCCCAGCTGGCCAGATTGCTTGTTCTTCCACCCCTTACGAGCCAAAGATTGATAGGTGTATGGGTCCACCAACCTGTCAGTCATAGGACATCACAAGTCAATGTTTCCTTTAAAGGCATAGTTCCAAAGAGGCTTGTCCTAGGAGGTAGAAGGAGTTTCTCCTGTTGAAATGGAGCCAGCCCCCCCCCCGCCTCAATCCATTTCAATAGGAGTTTTGAGGAAAGCTGCCTCCCCCTATTGGAGCAAGGTGGGCTCCCATCATTATCATTAAAATGACGCTTTCCCCTGCCACACACAACCTAGTTCAGATAGGAACTGTAAGAAAGGAGATTCCTGCTAAACATTGGAAATAACTTTATGATGGTAAGAGATGTTTGACAGAGGAATGGACTCCTTCAGAAGGTGGTGGGCCCCAGGAACCCTTCCAACTATACAAATCTATGATTCTATGGTTCTATGAAAAGGGGACAAAGTGGTTCAACTGAAGAATGAAGGAATATATTTGAAAATCAGTCATAGAATAATTTCAGAATAAAGTAACAAAACACCATAATAGCAAACATCCCAAAAAGCAAGGTCTGAGGACTATAAAACAACAAGATTACATGATTCAACATTACATCTCCTGGCAACAGCAAACTTAACAAGGAACAGAGTAGTTTCAAATACTCCTAGAAAGACCAATCTTATGATGCTCCTCACAATCCTTCTCCTGCAGAACCTTCTTAAAAGAGTTTCAAAAGCAGGGGCTGGGATAACTGGAAGCAGCCCTCCAGGGACACCCTCCGAGAAGAGAAAAACTGAACTCACTTTAAGCTCCTAATTGTTACTTTGAAGACATATACGATGTCAGCTGTAAAGAAGGTGGGTGTGGTTTGCCAGGAATGGCCTGGGAATTGGGACAACAGCCGGGCAAAATAGGGCCTACTGGCCAGACATTCCTCACCTCTGTTTTTCTTTCACAAAGCTAAACTTTCCAAAATTGATCTCACAATAGATTATCACCATGAAGGAGGGACCCAAAGTAACCACTTTTATACTAAAACCCTTCATATATAACAATGCAATAAGATAAAGAATAAAAAGAAGCAATTTACATCTTTTTCCTTATCATTTGCTCCTTTTTGTTCAGCTCAGGCCTCAGAACAATGATGTAACATTTAGGGGCAAAGATGCAGCCCAACAATCCAGCACTGGAGGACAAGATGGAGAAGATCTCCACCACCACCATGTATTTTCCTTTGGTGCTCAGATAGGTTGGAAAAAAAGAAAGCCAAACACTGCAGAACAGCAACATGCTGAATGTAATGAACTTGGCTTCATTGAAACTGTCTGGTAATTTGCGAGCTGCAAATGCCACAATGAAGCTGGCAATGGCCAGGAGGCCCATGTAGCCCAAGACACAATAAAACATGGTCACTGAGCCTTCATTGCACTGCACAATGGTTTCTTCCATTACCGAGTGCATGTCTAAAGCAGGGAATGGGGGAGAGGTCATCAGCCAGCCACTACAAATAATCACTTGAAAAAGAGAGCAGGAAAGGACAACGGAGTTGGTCATTTGTTTCCCTACCCACTTCCTCATACTGGACCCTGGCTTGGTGGCCATGAAAGCTGCAACTACAGTGATGGTTTTGGCCAACACACAGGAAACTGCCACAGAGAAGACAATGCCAAAAGTTGGTTGCCGAAGAAGGCAGGTCACTTCCCCAGGGCGTCCAATAAACAGAAAAGATGAGAGGAAGCAGAGTAGAAGGGCAATGAGGAGAGCATAGGTGAGATCTCTGTTGTTGGCTTTGACAATGGGAGTGTCTCTGTGTTGGATAAAAGTTCCTAGTACCAAAGCTGTGATCAGGGAAAAAGGAAGAGCAACAGAGGCCAAGCCGATCCCTAAGGGTTCCTCATAAGAAAGAAAGCTTATAGTTTTGGAGATGCATCTATTTTTCTTCTTGTTTGGATACTGATCATCTGGGCATCTGAAACAGTCAGCCATGTCTGAAAAGTAGAACAAGGTTAAACTCCAGTTTCGATTCATGTGGGGTTTTTTTGCCTGCTATTTAATAATTATTTTTCCTGTTGTTCTGAACCTTCTGATTTTTAGGTTGTATAGTTGAATTACTCTTTGAGTTTTCTGCTCAATCTGACAGGTTTGTTTAAACCATTTTAGGCAACCAAGCTGCACCAGGATTGCACCAGAATGGGTGGAAACTTGATTTCTTGAACCAACAGTAAATTGGGACAAAAATGTATTTTACTCCCATATTTAATTTATCTGGTTTAGGAAGTTTACACCTTTCCTTTTGTATGTGGTAGTACACAGTGTTAGGCATTCTAAAGCAGAAAATCAAATAGGCAGAGTCACAACAAAATGAGTGGACCATAAAGCTTCTAGCAAAGAGTAGGAGCAAAGCATGTCCCTTGGTCAGATGAGGCCCAGGCTTCCCTTAACCCCTCCCACAGTTGCCTGCTTGGAACCTGGATGCTTGTCTTGCCATACACACAAGTCCAACATTGTTTAACTCTGAAGGGTGTTGAACATCAAGTGGAATGCAATTCAAAAAGCAAGTGCTGATTGGAATCAGGACCCTATATTCACCATAGTCCCATGCCATCCCCTCTGACCTGAAGCATAATGAATAAAGTTCTGCCCTAATTCCACCCAAGATGGACATTTCATTCCAGCCACAAACATTCTCCAATCTGCAACTTCTGGACCATTTTATTACTTGACAGGTTCACTTAAATTATGTGTTCACTTAGATTATGTCATTTTCTGGGGCCTACTTTCAGGTCTGAATGCATGGGATTTTACCAGGCTTATGAGTTTTTTAAGGTTTTGATGAGAAGTTATTGGAAAGTAGCAACAAAATATTCACACCACTCCAAGGAAGATAGTGTGGTCACATGCACAACATTGTATTTAAATTCATTTCAACACATATTTGCTAATCTATTACAATGATAAATGTTATTTACCATTCTGGTTTGAAATCTTCCCTTCTGGACATGGAGTACAATCATAGCAGCAAAATTTCTGTCCTTCCTTACTTTTCTTCTGATTACCTGGGAGGCAGCAGTCATTGCATACAGAAACAGGCATCACCTATGAACAGGAAACAATTTCAGAAGGAAGGAATATTTGAAAGAAACTTTCAGTCTCTAAACTTCAAATAAGAAAGTAGACCTCTCATAAACATTTTCACAGGACAGTTGATTCATATCAAGTTGAACTATTGGTCCATTTGTTTTATATACGGAGTAAACTAAGGCTATTTTAATAACTCTAAATTTAAGAAATTATAAACTGTATATGGATAAGCCGACGCGTGGCAAATATTCAATGCTTCTAACACTTTCCTAAACCTGTCAGTATTTAGGAAATACAGTATTTAGGAAATTTTTGAGGCACTCCATGTGAGTGAAACAAGTCAACCTGGAAATGCATCCATTCTCTGCCCCACAGGCTTGAGGCCATAGTATAAGTCTCTTAAATCAGGATTCAACTGTTTCAATGAACTCATACAATTTAACATCAAGGGTTATTTGGAGGCTGTGAATGACACATCTGGAGAATGTGCGGCGCACAAGAAAACCCTAGATTTCAGACCTGGTTAAAATCGTTGTGCCACATAATCATGTCCTCATGAATGATGAATTCTTTTCCATCAACAGCATCAGAATCAACCCATCCCACCTTCACTTGAAGGAAGGACCTGTTTGGGAATGTGACAGTATTCATGATGTCAAAGCCACCTCCCATTTCTCTTTGATCAGTAAATGACACGATTTCTCCAGCTGAGTTGTTAAATGAAATGTCATGAAGAATAAGGTGGAGCTAATATAGAGAGAAAAGAGAGTAAAATAAAAAATAACTTGTTGGAGTTTTTGAACAAAATGCCATGATTTGCAAAGGGATCACAGGTGAGAGCTGGAAAGGGCTGCTATCCATTGTAGGTGGTGGGGGCTGAGAATTCTTGGTATTCTAGTTGTTTTGTTTGTAGTTTTTAGAGCTGTTATACTATTGTATTGTGGAAAACATCAATCATTTTCAGTGTATATGATCTGCAATAGCATTTCAACAGCACCTCTGGATCATAATGCAACAAAGTATTTCTTTGTTTTTTAAAAATATTTTTTTCTAGTAAATAAAACAAACTCAAAATAAGGAGTCCAAATAAATATTATTAAAACAGGCTGAAAGCAGGACAAGTTCGGACATTATAATTGAATTTGTTATTCCAAAGCATACAAAAAAATACATTCCCCCCATTAAGGTTTAAATGTTAGTGTAATGAAAGTAACTATGGACAAAATTTTCCTCAATCCATTCAGATATTCTTAGTCATTGTATTCTTAGTAGGAGTTATAAGGTTGAAAATTATTTCTGGATCATTTTCCGGAGTAACTTCTCTTAGACAACCAAGCAGAAAAGTTTTTGTTTGTTTTTTTAAATAACCAAGCAGAAAAGTTTTAGTATCCAAGGATATATAAAGCTTTCTGCTCTGGTCATGCAGAAAATGACTTTTGCTTCTCTTCATTCTCAGTACATTACCTGCCAAGGCTCCAGGTCCTGAAGTTTTAATCTTTCACTTTTCCCCATTGCTCTTTGCTTGGATCTAGGTGAGTGAATGTTCTGCAAGGCATGAGCCACAGCATAGACACCATTATAAATGCTGTAGCTGTGACCAGTCATGCCCATTTCAAACAGAGACCTTGGAAGACTCTGCAATCTCTCCTCCCCCGAACACATACCATGGACCTCCATTGGTGCATCAAAATTGGGAAGAATACAGTCAAATGCTTGCTCCCAGAAGCCTTTGATGAAACCATCTCCCTGGGTCCAGGAAGGCTTTATGTTGTGAAGAAATTCCTTGAAAGCTGGAAGATTTTGTGAGTGGATTGTGAAGGAAAGGGAACCCTGGAAGAGCAGAACATTCCAAACCTTAAGAAGACCCATAGATATGAAATCTGTCTGTGCTGTAAAGATCCATACCTTTTTAAATGATGTGTTTTTCTTATTTGTAGGATCTGGCACAAATATGATAGCTCTCAGTGCTATAATGGCTAGAGATTCTCCATAAACAATAAATGTAGTGACTTTATTATCTCTGATTTGTACATACATATTTAAAGCTATATCATGCATTTCATCCACATTATCAATGTGGAGTTGTTTTGGGATTTTGTGTGTGAAGGCTGAGCAAATTCCATTTTGAAAAAGCAATGGCTCCAGGGTCTGCAAGAAATGTTCTCCACTGTTATCATTCAGAGCAAGGAGTCCGATCCACGTCCATCCAAAATGCTTAAGCAAGCGGATAATCCCAAGAAACTGTTGGGCTTCATTGGGCACCATGCGGTAAAAGGAAGGAGCCTGACTTGTATCACTCTCCACTGCAGGAAATGAACCATATGCAAACTAAAAGAAAATGCACATATATTATATTGAAATAATTCATCCTGTACCATTTGGCTTTTTATTCAACAAGTATCTGTTGAATTATATAGATGATAGATAGAGATAGATGATAGATAGACAGGCAGTTAGATAGTTAGATGATAGACAGGTTTTATAAATGACTCTTCCAGTCAGGGCTCATTCAAAGCTTTTTTCTTATTCCGTATTTTGATTTTATATTGACCAGATCAGTCTCGCACGCCTAGAAAAAACAAAGAAAAATGTCCAGGGAAGATGGGATAAAGATGCAGAATTGTACTAAATTTTAAAGTAACCATCATGACCATTTTGCCTTTTATTCAACAAATTCTAACCTTTCCTTTTTCTAATTGCACATTTTGATTTGAGCTGTGAGCAGATCAGTCTCACATCCCTAGAAATAAAGCAGAAAAAAGGAAAAGGAATATGGGTTAAAGATGTAGGCTTGTGTACAACTAAATTTTAAATTAATGATCAGGACTAAGATAGATCCATTAATTTTGTTGAGTCTGCTCTGAGTAAATCTACAGAGTACAATACTTCCCAATAGGTCTGCTCTGTGTAGAACAAACATGGAAGCAACCCACAGAGACAGGAAGAAAAGATTCCCTTTGGCCCCTTCATACCTCTTACCTGTGGAATTTTGTAGAGACCTAATGTGTCTGCCATATGGAAGGTGGTATCATGGCCAAGTCCCCCAATGGTGGATATGAGGGTTTTCTGGGTGTCACATTTGTAGTTGGGGACAAAGGTCCTCATTTTGAAGAGGAGGTCTAGAGTCGTACGGTAGGTCATCCTTGCATCATAATAGCTGTCATAGATGTGGAAGCCAAGTGTGATATTGGGCAAGATGTTGGGATTCTCATTGACTTCTTTCACAGCAAATGCCAATGCAAGAATGTGCTGATAGAATTTTGTCACCATACTGCAAATAAAGTAAACGTATAGAAATTACAATATGATGAATAGATTAGATGATATAAGATGATATAGATGATATAGAATAGCATACTAGACATATATACCAGATCCAGAGGCACACAGAACGCCATCACCAATCAACCACACCAGACCCAAACCCAGACCCTCTCCACAGATAAATTACAGACACCATCCAGTAGCCAAACCATGGTGGCACCTCCGGATGCTGCACCCCCCTGCAATCCCTACACAGATCTGACTGGCACAGGGCACAAAACCACAGCTCGCCCCTATACCCGAAGCCAAGCCAGAGCACAACTAAGTGCAGTACAGCCATCTTCTCAGAAAAACTTTTCACAAAGTTCAAGAGGTCAAGACACGAAGGCTTGAGCAACTAATCCACACCTAATGACCCACCTAAATGGTACTCAGAATATCACTCAAGAAATCACTCAAGATATCCCTCAAGTAATTAAGGAACAAAAGAAGAATAGGCACACTAGCCTGGGAACTTCCTCTCTGCCCAGAACATTGGAGGCTATACACCACACCCCCTCAACAGTATTTATAGGAACTCAAACACTGAGATCCTGCTCTGTTCCAGTAACAAAACAAAGCACAGCTGAGATCAGTGAGATTAAACGTCACTTCTAAAGCGAGGAATAAAATGCATATATAGCCAATACTGGACACACCTTCTTGTTTCAAATTGAAATTATTTTATTGTGATTAAACAATCAAAAGCGAATAAAAATCATACTGTCCAGAGAAAAATCCATGATTGAACAGGTCATTTCTGGTTTGCATGATACTTTCATATACTTGCGTGTTCTTCAGCTTTTCATCTTAGTTGATCACGAAAAATAAATAAAACAAATCTGGTTTATCCTTTATTTGCGGACAACTTCATTTTTAACTGAATAAGTATGTTCCGCATCATGAAAGGCTACAATCTATACCCCCATTTTCTGAAAAGTTGCATTGAATTCATTGGGCTTGTTCTCAGCACACAGCTGGGTAGAGTCAGGAAAGCTCCTTGCACATCCGAACCACAGATTTGAGGTGTGCAGTCCACAGTAGCTAAGCACAGTCATTAGGCCTGTGGGGCATCTGAGAGAAGGGGGAATCAAGTGGGAATGAATTTACCTTCTCACTGGAAGAGACCGCTAGTTGTAAAATTTGTCTCAGTTTTTTTCTTGGTTTTCCAGCTCAATACCTGCCTCTCTTGCTTGCCTAAGGCCTCATCCTGACAACCTCAGGTCTCCCTGTGCCATCCAACCTGAAGTGCTAGCAATCCCTGTTGCAGCAATACAACCCATCCAATCTCTGGCTCCCTCCAAATACACCCACTTACAGTACTTACGTTAAAGCCCAGGGAGTTTCACCACAATGTTATTCCTCCCATGGAGCTTTTTTTCAGATCAGGAGCCACATAAAAAAAGTTTAATTGAAAGACAAATGCCCTCACAAATGTTAGCCGCATCTCACCTAACCTAAGAAGTAATTTCAACTCAGCACACACCGAAACTTTAAATCACCTTAGATACCTGTAAGAGGTAGTAAAATATAATGCTCTTTCAAAAGGCAAGGAAACTTTGGAGATTTTGCAGGATAGTGCGTGGTAGAGCTCTAATTTTATTTTTTGAATTTCTGTGCAATGTAATCTTAATTTTCATTTTCACCCTTCTCTTCCCCACTCCTAATATATATACTGCAGAGAAATTGCAAATACACTGCTTTTATTTTATTAAACATTCTTTGTGAGCTGATAGGCTTTTATTATTGTTATTAAACAACTTTTTAATAACACCATTCAGTCAAAATGTGGCTCTGGTTGCAGTTTGAAAATGTTGGTGATAAGATATTCCTTCCCCTTAAGATTCCTGTCTTAAAAACATGAGAAAAAGAGAAAGGCAGTATAGAGGGGGAATGGAAGTTTCTTACTATGAAACATCAAACAGGTTCTGTGATGGGTGTTCCTTGAATAAAACTTCATAGAAAATGTAATAGCTCTGAGACACAATCCCACCAATGATGAGGTCACCTGGCTGGTACCACTCATGTGGAACAGGAAAAGGATTATTACTGGGGCACCAGATAGAGGTATTAGAAACAGGAATGATTAGAAATAGCAACATCAAGAGCAGCAGCATCCTGGCAGCCAAGCTTATGATATACATTTAATCAAATACATTTCTGTAGTAGTAACAGAGATTATATTCTCATAAATTGCGTCCAGCCTGACTCTCCATAGCATATGAGCTTATTTTTTAAACACCTTCTGGCTTCCTTGTTGATTGTTTTCCACCTACTACATGAAACCATCTGGGGGCTTTACCTGGTGAAGAGATTGCAGTCATTTGAGTAATTGTAGTATAGGAGTATTAATCACTTGTCCAGAGTTTGGAGTCTAAGTGACACTTTTGCTTTTTTTTTACTCCCAGTTGTGCTCCACATTGGGGGGGGGGGAGAAGCAGAAGAATTTTTCCTTGGTGAACTAACAACAACAGGAAACTTGAGAGCAAAGGCACTAGTTTTTGGATACAAAGCGGAAGTGCTATATATTGAGATTAAAGCCACTTCTCAACTCCATTTTTAAACTATGATTAAAAACCAGGCAACTTGACTCATTTGCATGAATTATATGCAGGTATTGTTGTATTGGAGGGGTAGGCTATCCCCCCCCCCCCAGTCACTGAGTTCTCTCCAGAATAACCTTCCCCATTCCATATGCCAGTGGTGGCTAGGACTAGAGGTGAAAGTAAACAGAATTCCTAATGTACATTTTAGCAGTGTATTGCATCTACGGTACTTTATGCTCTCATACACCCACATGGGTCTATTCCCCATTCAAACCATCAAGAGTTCGCGGTCATATTGAAGACAAACAAAAGCACTCAGCATATGTAGCAGAACAAGGGATGTATGTCTTGTTGCTGTTGCTGACAAATAGTAGTAGTAGTAGTAGTAGTAGTAGTAGTAGTAGTAGTAATAAGATATTTATAATGATAGGACTCAAAGTAGCTTATGAATAAAAACAAAAATCACTAAAAACATAGATGAAGCAAACATTAACAGACACCTAACATTAATAGGATTTAAACTTTATAGCTTCTATATAGGGCTTCCAGGAGAGGTTTTGTACAAAAATGGATGCCAATATATTTAAATTCTCAGCATTGTTCAATCTGGTGACCATTAATAGACCACTGGAAATGAGAATGTCTTTTCCCAAACACCATTACACTTGTTTTGGTATCATTAATGTGTGATTGTTCTTTAGAACAGAAAACACTGAACTTAGAGAGTAGTCTTCTCAACCCTATGCGAGAGATTGAAATTAAAACCATATTGTCATCATATAAAAGAATAAAGATCTTATTTGACCTGATTGAGAGAGGAAAAAAATAATGGGCCAGACAATACTTTCATCTAGTTCAACCCCATGCAATGAAGGAATCTTTTCGATCAACGTGGGGCTCAGACCAAAGACCCTGAGATCAAGGGTCTCATTCTCTAACAACTGAGGTAGCCACACCAATAATTGCACTGAAAACAGCATGGCCCTCTTTCATTAAAAGCAGTTCCAGAAAACCTGCTGGAACAAGAACAACCTTGCCGGAAGAAGAAGGGATCCAGTCTAGCTTATCCAGCGAGGGACTTCCATAGCTTAGGAGCAGCCACAGACAAGGCCCACTCCTGCATCCCCACCAATCATGCCTGTGAGGGTGCTGAGACTGAGAGAAGGGCCTCCCCTGAAGATTTCAAAACCTGGGCAGCTGTAGTCTGAGAGAATACAGTCTTTCAGGTAGCTTGAACCTAAACTGTCTAGGGCTTTATAGGTGATAACAAGCACTTTGAATTGTTACCAGAAGCCGACTGGAAGCCAGTGGAGCTGTTCTAGGAAGGAAGTTGTATGCTCCCTATAACCAGCCCTTGTCAGCAATGTGGCTTCATCCCTTTGAGCCCTTTAAAGCTTTTGAGCATTTTTCAAAGACAGCGCCAAAGGGGATGTAAATTATGTATGTGCCTCTGTCGCCAAATCAGACATCTCATGTCTGCAATGGGCACAACTGTGAATGTAACTGACGATGAAGAGTGACTGAGGGTGGACCAATATAATATCTGCCAGGAATTAAAATTATTCATTGTATGGAACAAGAAAAGGGTCACTTGGAGGGTACCTCAAAGTATTTGCAGAAAGAGAGAGAATAACTCCCCCTCCCTCCAATTTTAGCTAGAATTGGGAATTTTGGTAACAATCATCCTGGGTTGTATGCTTTCCCCACAACTGACAACATGCCACCTTTGCTCCATGGCGGCACCAAAAGCGGTAAAAAAGTGGCACTGGTTGCCAGTTACTGTCAGCTCCTTTGCCAAGGGTTTTGATACCTGAGGAGAAGGTTTTAAAGCCCTACACAATTTTTTGAGCAAGCAAGCTGTTTAAAACAGATTTTAATGGTTTAATATTGTAGTTGCTTTCACTGGACCTGTGGGTTTGCTGTTAACAATAACAACAGCAACTACTACTACAACAACCACTGATATTACAGAATAATATAGAATTTGATGGAAATAAAACTGTAGAAGAATGGAAACAGTGCTGGTTGTGATGAAGGTAGATGAGTGTGGAAATGACAACCTTCTTAAAAACACATTTTTATTTTAAAATATTTGTAATCAATGGAATAAAAATGTATTTGACTAAACAATAAAGGTTCATATTTAACAAAACAATGGGGGCAAATCAATAAGTCATTTATTTATTTCTCCTTACTAGTTGTTCTCTGCAGTTCAGTTCAGGCCTCAGCAAAATGATGTAGCATTTAGGGGCAAAGATGCAGCCCAATAATCCAGCACTGGAGGACACGATAGAGAAGATCTCCACCACCACCATGTATTTACCCTTGGTGCTCAGATAGGTTGGGAGAAAGGAAATCCAAACACTGCAAAACACCAGCATGCTGAAGGTAATGAACTTGGCTTCATTGAAACTGTCTGGTAATTTGCGAGCTGCAAATGCCACAATGAAGCTGGCAGTGGCCAGGAGGCCCACGTAGCCCAGAACACAATAAAACATGGTCACTGAGCCTTCATTACATTGCACAATGGTTTCTTCCTTTACTGAGTGCATGTCTAAAGCAGGGAATGGGGGAGAGGTCATCAGCCAGCCACTACCAATAATCGCTTGAAAAAGAGAGCAGGACAGGACAATGGAGTTGGTCATTTTTTTCCCTACCCACTTCCTCATACTGGACCCTGGCTTGGTGGCCATGAAAGCTGCAACTACAGTGATGGTTTTGGCCAACACACAGGAAACTGCCACAGAGAAGACGATGCCAAAAGTTGGTTGTCGAAGAAGGCAGGTCACTTTCCCAGGGTGTCCAATAAACAGAAAAGATGAAAGGAAGCAGAGTAGAAGGGCAATTAGGAGAGTGTAGGTAAGATCTCTGTTGTTGGCTTTGACAATGGGAGTGTCTTTGTGTTGAATAAAAGTTCCTAGCACCAAAGCTGTGATCAGGGGGAAAGGGAGAGCAACGGAGGCCAAGCCAATCCCTAAAGGTTCCTCATAAGAAAGAAAGCTTATAGTTTTGGAGAGGCATCTATTTTTCTTCCTGTTTGGATACTTATCTTCTGGGCATCTGAAGCAATCAGCCATGTCTGAAAAATAGAACAAGGTCAAACTCCAGTTCATGTGTGTGTTTTTGCGTACTATTTAACAGTTACTTTTCCTGTTGTGCTGAACCTTCTAAATTTTACTCTTTGAGATTTCTGGTCAATCTGACAGGTTTTTTTAAACCATTTTAGGCAACCAAGCTGCACCAGGATTGTACCAGAATGACAGAATGGGTGTAAGCTTGGTATCTTGAATCAGCAATAAACTGGGACAAAAATGTATTTTACTCCCATATTTAATTTCTCTGGGTTATGTGGTTTACGCCTTTCCTTTTGTACGTGGTAGTACACAGTGTTAGGCATTCTAAAGCAGAAAATCAAATAGGCAGAGTCACAACAAAATGAGTGGATCATAAAGCTTCTAGCAAAGAGTAGGAGCAAAGCATGTCCCTTGGTCAGATGAGGCCCAGGCTTCCCTTAACCCCTCCCACAGTTGCCTGCTTGGAACCTGGATACTTGTCTTGCCATACACACAAGTCCAACATTGTTAAGCTCTGAAGGGTGTTGAACATCAAGTGGAATGCAATTCAAAAAGCAAGTGCTGATTGGAATCAGGACCCTATATTCACCATAGTCGCATGCCATCCCCTCTCACCTGAGGCATAATGAATAAAGTTCTGCCCTAATTCCACCCAAGATGGACATTTCATTCCAGCCACATTCTCCAATCTGCAACTTCTGGACCATTTTATTACTTGACAGGTTCACTTAAATTATGTGTTCACTTAGATTATGTCATTTTCTGGGGCCTATTTTCAGGTCTGATTGCATGGGATTTTACCAGGCTTATGAGTTTTTTAAGGTTTTGATGAGAAGTTACTGGAAAGTAGCAACAAAATATTCACACCACTCCAAGGAAGATAGTGTGGTCACATGCACAACATTGTATTTAAATTCATTCCAACACATATTTGCTAATCTTTTACAATGAAAAATGTTATTTACCATTCTGGTTTGAAATCTTCCCTTCTGGACATGGAGTACAATCATAGCAGCAAAATTTCTGTCCTTCCTTACTTTTCTTCTGATTACCTGGGAGGCAGCAGTCATTGCATACAGAAACGGGCATCACCTATGAACAGGAAACAATTTCAGAAGGAAGGAATATTTGAAAGAAACTTTCAGCCTTTAAACTTCAAATAAGAAAGTAGACCTCTCATAAACATTTTCACAGGACAGTTGACTCATATCAAGTTGAACTATTGGTCCATTTGTTTTATATACGGATTAAAGTAAGGCTATTTTATAACTCTAAATTTAAGAAATTATAAACTGTATATAGAAAATCCCACGCGTGGCAAATATTAAATTCCTCTATCACTTTCCTAAACCTGTCAGTATTTAGGAAGGCCTTTTGGAGGCATAAGACTCCGAGTGGGTGAAACAAGTCAACCTGAACATGTATCCATTCTTTGCCCCACAGGCTTCAGGCCATGGTATAAGTCTCTTAAATCAGGATTCAGCTGAAAAATGCCTCAGGATGCTCGTCATTTTTGGCAACCTCTTATATTTTCTGCACCTGCCAAGTGATGAGAATGCAAATTCACATAATTCTGTGGCTGCAACCAGTAACTGTACTGTCAGGGAACTGCAGGCAGCGAGGGAGGAAAGAATGGGAGGATACAGAGAACGATCTTCACTGCCTGGAAGAAGCGGACCATTTGGATCCCTTCCAATCGGGATTCAGGCCTCATCACGGGACTGAAACTGCCTTGGTCGCACTGGTTGATGATCTCCGGCGGGCTAGGGACAAAGGTGAGAGCTGTTTCCTAGTTCTGCTGGATCTCTCAGCGGCATTTGATACCATCGACCATAACATCCTTCTGGACCGTCTTGAGGGGCTGGGAGCTGGGGGCACTGTCATACAGTGGTTCCGCTCCTTCCTCCTGGGCCGTGTTCAGAAAGTGGTGGTGGGGGATGAGTGTTCAGACCCCTGGGCTCTCACTTGTGGGGTGCCTCAGGGTTCTGTCCTCTCCCCTATGCTTTTCAACATCTACATGCAGCCGCTGGGAGAGATCATCAGGGGGTTTGGGCTGGGTGTTCATCAGTATGCAGATGATACCCAGCTCTACCTTTCTTTCAAATCAGAACCAGTGAAGGCGGTGACGGTCCTGTGTGAGTGTCTGGAGGCGGTTGGAGGATGGATGGCGGCAAACAGATTGAGATTGAATCCTGACAAGACAGAAGTACTGTTTCTGGTGGACAGGAGGCGGGCAGGTGTGGAGGATTCCCTGGTCCTGAATGGGGTAACCGTGCCCCTGAAGGACCAGGTGCGCAGCCTGGGAGTCATTTTGGACTCACAGCTGTCCATGGAGGCACAGGTTAAATCCGTGTCCAGGGCAGCTGTGTACCAGCTCCATCTGGTACGTAGGCTGAGACCCTATCTGCCCGCGGACTGCCTCGCCAGAGTGGTGCATGCTCTGGTTATCTCCCGCTTGGACTACTGCAATGCGCTCTACGTGGGGCTACCTTTGAAGGTGACCCGGAAACTACAACTAATCCAGAATGCAGCAGCCAGACTGGTGACTGGGAACGGCCGCCGAGACCATATAACACCGGTCTTGAAAGACCTACATTGGCTCCCAGTACGTTTCCGAGCACAATTCAAAGTGTTGGTGCTGACATTTAAAGCCCTAAACGGCCTCAGTCCAGTATACCTGAAGGAGCGTCTCCACCTCCATCGTTCTACCCGGACACTGAGGTCCAGCACCGAGGGCCTTCTGGCGGTTCCCTCACTGCGAGAAGCCAAGTTACAGGGAACCAGGCAGAGGGCCTTCTCGGTAGTGGCGCCCTCCCTGTGGAACGCCCTCCCACCAGATGTCAAAGAGAACAACAACTATCAGACTTTTAGAAGACATCTGAAGGCAGCCCTGTTTAGGGAAGCTTTTAACGTTTGATGTATCACAGTATTTTAATATTCTTTTGGAAGCCGCCCAGCGTGGCTGGGGAAACCCAGCCAGATGGGCGGGGTATAAATAATAAATTATTATTATTTATTATTATTACTGATTAGTACTGGCTCGTCCTCCTCAGAAGGCAGAGAAGAGGAGAGTGAGTCTGGGGAGGAAGGGGTGCTCCCGAGAGAGGGGGATCCACGTCACAGGGGAAAACGGAAGGGGCTGAGCCATTGGCTGTGCTGGTCTCGAGGGAGAGGGAAAAGAGAAACCAGTCAGAGCAACGCGTCATGAGAGACGGATCACTTTGTTTATTCTGCATGTAATCTGTCAGAAGGAAATAAAGAAAGGAATTTATGGCTGGCTGCCGGGAGTGTTTTCTCTGCTGAGTGCATCAACACGTGCAGCTGGCTAGCTGACAGTTTGCTCTGACTCTTTACACCCAGTTAATGAGCACTCGAGAGGAGAGGAGAGGCAAGGAGAAAAGGAGGATGGAAGCTCGCCTTGCACAGCTGGAAAAAGAGAGGACTGATTTATTGGCTACATCAGAGGAATTAAGAATTCATTTGCAAGAAGCCAGAGCCAGATCTGACGGAGCTTCCGGAGTGGGCTTACTGAACTGGTCTTTGATGCTGGTAAGCAAATTCATTGGAGACCCCAGACTGTACATGGGCTTCAAAACTGGACATGCAGTATGCTCTTGAACTGCAAGGAGCTGCTTTTGCTGGGGATGCTGATAAGGTGGGGTACCTTATAGGCCATTTGACTGGGGCAGCGCGAGGCTGGGTACGCCCACTGCTTGCTAGCCATAATGCTGCGCTCAGCAATCTCAAACAATTCTGGGAAGCGATGGACGTGATGTTTTCATTGGGATCGAAGGAGGATGTGACCCAGCAGCAGCTATTGGATCTCTGGCAGGGAAACTCAACTGTGAGGGATTACTGGTCCCAATTTGCGATGCTGGTGCACAAGCTTGATTGGAGCTTGAACTCAAAGCCTGTGTAAGCTCTATTTAAAGCCGGACTTAATTCTCAGGTGAAAGATGAGCTTGCCAGGGGCCCCTGTCACCAGGACTTGGATTCCCTCGTTAAGGCTGCTCTGGCAGTGGGCAGCAGGCAAGAGCTGAGGCAGCTAGAGAAGGCTGAGAGCAAAGTCCGGAGTTCTCATGGTGATCGCATTCCTGGCATACCAAGTGAGGGAGAGCAAGGTCACTCTCGCTCGGAGCCGATGGAAATTGACTCTGTTCTGCCCACGCACGTAATATTCAAAGGTTCAATGGCTAACTCACAAGGCAGCAAAAGACGGGCAGGCTGCCAAGAAATGTTTTATCTGCCAGAAACCAGGGCACTTTGCCAGAGTGTGTACTGAACGTCGCAACTGGCAGGGAATGGTGGGGGCTTCCTCCCAGATGGGAGAGGGGGAGTCCAAAAGCAGGGAAACGCCAGTGCCTGGCTGGGAATGGAGCGGGGGCAGCAGCCAGGCAGGAATGGAACAGAACCAGAGCCCCGACCAGGACATCCCCAACCAGGCATAATTGTGAGGGTGTTGCTGGACCTCCCCAATGGACATGCTATGGAGGACCATGCCCTGTTGGACTCAGGACCATGCTTCCAAGCCTTCATGCACCACGTGTTGGGACCTTTGCTGTACAAAAACTGCGCTGCATTTTTGGATGACATACTTATTTACTCTCCAGACGAAGAACAGCACGTTAAGGATGTGTGGGAAGTTCTAGCTAGGCTCAAGGAGCATCGCCTATGGGTGAAACTGGAGATGTGTCAGTTTCACACGAGAGAGGTCGAGTTCCGGGCTATAGGCTGTCGGACAGGGGTCTGGCAATGGACCCGGAGAAGGTCAAGGCGGTGGTGGAGTGGAAAAGCCTGAAAACGAGGAAGGATGTTAAAACCAGGCAACCTGTCTCATTGCATGAATTATATGCAGGTATTGTTGCATTGGAGGCTGGGATAAAGCACCCCAGATCCAAACGCCATTCTGGAGTAGAGCTACTGCTCCTTGAGACACCCAAAGCCTTGCAAAGGGAAGTCAAACCCTTCAAATAGAGTTTGGCTTATGTCACCCTTTCTGCTGTCAAACACAGACACATGCTCTACCCAACACCAGTACAGTAACAACTTATTGTTTTAAAGCATGTTTCCAGTTTCTAATCCATCACAATCTCTTCAGGCCACCCTCTTCCTGCTTGGTGCACACTCCCAGTCCCAGTTCTGTATCCAAAAGCTTAACCACTTCAGACTTATGGGCAAGTCCTAGAGGCTCCACAGCCATATGGAAATCTGGACGTAAGGCATCAGAATCTAATCAGTATTGTGATTGCTTATCTCTCTGGTAAAGGCACTTTTGCACCACTTTTTCTGATGATAGGGTAAGGGACTGGATAAAGTTGAATCATGTTAAGACTGACTTACAAATGTGGCTTGAATTCCACTTTGAGTATAATGGGGTGGCATTCTGGAGGTAGGACCTCTTGCTTGAAGCTGAACGACAGGTTATGCCAGGCACTATGAGTTGCAAATGGTTGTGGCTTCTAGATAATAATTGAAGACCAATGGTGTGCAGAAAAAAATAATGGCCTGATGATCGGCATGATAGGAGTGTAACCAGGAATTGTCTTGTGCTGTATATGTGATAAGCAGGAGCCACAACAGTGTGAACGTGTCCTCACTAGCTTGTCCCTATGCTAGTTTAAGTTTGTTCGTTAACTTTTCTAATAGTGTGTTTTGTATATGATGCTGGAGCGAGGTGTTCCTCCATTATTGACCTTGGGAGAGCACATTTCTCCAGCAAACTAACAACTGAGAGCTCCCTTTCAGATCATTCTTCTTCTTCTGAAGCATTTTGAGTACCCACCCCACACTTGATGGCACATATGATGCCATTACTATAGGTGTTTTTTTTTAAAAAAAAAATCTAAACTAAATCCCCCTTCCCAACAAAATAGTGGCATGCTGGAGACATTCATAATAAATATATCTTATAATAAATCAGAGAGATGAAAACAAAGTTATTGCTCAGTTCTTTTTCATTATTTGATCCCTATTGTTCAGCTCAGGCCTCAGGAAAATAATGTAACATTTAGGAGAAAAGATGCAGCCCAACAATCCAGCACTTGAAGACAAGATGGAGAAGATCTCCACCACCACGATGGATTTTCCTTTGGTGCTCAAGTATGTTGGAAGAAAGGACATCCAAACACTGCAGAAGAGCAACATGCTGAAGGTAATGAATTTGGCTTCATTGAAACTGTCAGGTAATTTGCGAGCTGCAAATGCCACAATGAAGCTGGCAATGGCCAGGAGGCCCATGTAGCCCAGGACACAGTAAAACATGATCACTGAGCCTTCATTGCACTGCACAATGGTTTCTTCTGCTACTGAGTGCATGTCTAGTTGGGGGAATGGGGGAGAAGTCATCAACCACACAGTACAAATACTAGCTTGAATAAGAGAGCAGGAAAGGACAATAACATAAGCCAGCCGCTTTCCCACCCACTTCCTCATACTGGACCCTGGCTTGCTAGCCATGAATGCTATAACTACAGTGACAGTCTTTGCCAACACACATGAAACAGCCAATGAGAAGACAATGCCAAACATTGGTTGGCGAAGAAGGCAGGTCACTTTCCCAGGGCGTCCGACGAACAGAAATGACGAGAGGAAGCAGAGTAGGAGGGCAATGAGGAGAGTGTAGGTGAGATCCCTGTTGTTAGCTTTGACAATGGGAGTGTCACTGTATTTAATAAAAGTTCCTATCACCAAAGTTGTGATCAGGGAAAAAGAAAGAGCAAAGGAGGCCAAGCTGATCCCAAAAGATTCATCATAAGAAAGAAAGCTTATTCTTTTTTGGATGCACCCATTTTTCTTCTGGTTTGGGTACTGATTTGCTGGGCATCTGATGCAGTCATCCATATCTGAAAAAAGTATGGTCATATAGCATTATGTGAATTACTCTTTGAGTTATCTGCTGAATTTATCCTGTTTGAGTTTAAACAATATTAAGCTGCTTTTCCATGCATCCTGCCCATGGGGGGCTTCCTCTTACACCACTGATCACTGTGGGATCATGAGTGGGGAGCACTTTCAAATCTATGTGCATTGTATTGCACCAGACTTATTGGTTTTTAAATGCTTTCTTCAGAGGTTGCTGGAAAACAGCGGAAAAATATGAACACACCACTCCAAGTAGGATAGTGCAGATACATGCAAAAATGTAGTAATTAAATTATTTTAAATAGATCTGACACAATAATCTTTATTAATATTGAACAACGAAAAGTGTCCTGTACCATTCTGGTCTGACATTTTCCCTTCTGGGCATAGCGTACAATCGTAGCAGCAAAATTTCTGCCCTTCTTTCCTGTTCTTCTGATTACCAGGCCGGCAGTAGTCATTACACACAGAAATGGGTGTCATCTATCCATACACAGGAAATAATTTCATAAGGGAGGCTTCTTTCTTAAAAAACGTTCAGTCACTGCACTTCAAATAAGAAAGTAAACCTCTCACAACCACCCCCTTCTTCCCCCCCCCCAAAAAAAGCCTTAGAAGCTGCTTCATATAAATCACAGCCATTGGCCCATTCTTTGTTAGTAAACCAGAAAAAGAGGCAAGATAAAATACATGGATTAAAGTGGCTAGGGCCACTTTATTAGTTGTAAGTTTAAGAATTTATAAATAACAAAGGGCAGGCATAATCAAACTCGGCCCTCCAGATGTTTTGAGACTACAATTCTCATCCCTGACCACTGGTCCTGTTAACTAGGGATGATGGGAGTTGTAGTCCCAAAACATCTGGAGGGCCGAGTTTGCCTATGCCTGGCAAAGGGGAAAGCCCATGCATAAAGAAATCTTTAGATCTTCTATCAGGCTCCTAAACCTGCCATGATTAACCAAGGTCTTTCTGATTCACACAGCCTTTGAGACACACAACTCTAAGTTAGCAACACATGTTAATTTCAAAAGTCACCCATACCCTGCCACATGTTTCAGAGAGCGCACTGACAAGTCTCTAGAATCAGAATTCACAAGGAGCTCAACATCTTTGCCAACCTCTTTCCTCTTCTGCACCCACCTGCCAAGTGACCAGAAAGCCAATTCAAGTAATGTGTAATTGCACCTATTTGGCACTGCTGGGTAGGTGTATGAAGCAGGTGGGAAAGGTCACTTAGCCCACCAGTCAATCACAAGAGAAAAAAATGGTGATTATCTGGCAAGTACCTTGGCTCAAAGGAATGCCCAGTTTCCATACCTGGTTAAAGGCTTTGTTCCATATAATCAGGTCCTCATGAATGGTGAATTCTTTTCTGTTGAAAGTGTAGGGATCCACCCATCCAACCTTCGCTCGAAGGAAAGACTTGTTTGGGAAGGTGACCAAGTTCATGATGTCAAATCCACCTCCCATTTCTCTCTTATTAGTAAAGAACATTGTTTCTCCAGCTGAGTTGTTGAATGAAATTTCATGAAGAAAACGGTGTAACTAAATGAAAGGGAAAAGAGGGATGAAGGTGAAACTACATAATGGAGATATTGAACAAAATGTCATGATTTACAAACAACTTTCTTTATCAGCATTATTTAGCTATAATTATGTAGCTTTACAGTACATAGACCAAGTGTGAAAAATCAGTTGTCTTGGCAGAGCTGTTGGAAAAATTGTTATGCACACACACACACACACACCCTAATATATGAAGGAAATATGAAGGCATAAAGCTTTGTTTGTACGTGGCAAAAAAATACTACTACTTTTGTACTTAGTGTTTCAGTGAAAGAATCATATGTTTGTTGCTCTTTGTTTGCAAAGCATTACCTGCCAAGGCTGCACATCCTGAAGTTTTAATCTTTCACTCCTCTCCGTTGTTCTCTGCTTGGATCTAGGTGAGTAAGTGTTATGCAAGGCATGAGCCACAGTATAAACAGCATTGTAGATACTGTAACTATGGCCAGATAACTCCATTTCAAACAGAGCCCGTGGAAGACTGTCCAAGCTCTCCTCTCCAGTACACAGTTCTTTGGGCTCCACTGTCACATGGGGATTTGGAAATATACAGTCAAATACTTGAATCATAGAATCATAGAATCATAGAATCATAGAGTTGGAAGAGACCACAAGGGCCATCGAGTCCAACCCCCTGCCAAGCAGGAAACACCATCAGAGCACTCCTGACAGAGCACTTGCTCCCAGAAGTCCTTGAAAAAGCCATCTCCCTGGCTCCAGGAAGGCTTGATCCTCTGAAGAAATTCACTGAACTTTAGAAGATTTCGTGAATGAATTGTGAAGGATATGGCACCATGGAAGACCTGAAAATCCCAGAATCTAAAAAGCCCTGTTACTATGACATCAGTATGTGCTGTCAAGATCCACACCCTTTTAAATGATGTGTCTATCTTACTTGTTGGATCTTGCATAAATAGAATAGCTCTAAGCCATATGATTGTGAGAGATTCTCCATAGACGATAAATGTAGTGACTTTATTATCTGTGACCAGTACATACATATTTAAGGCTATGTCATGCGTTTCATCCAGGTTATCAAGATGGATTTGATGTGGGATTCTTTGTGTGAAGGCTGAGCAGATTCCATTTTGGGAAAGCAGAGGTTCCATGGTCTGCAAGAAATTTTGTCCACTGTCATCGTCCATAGTAAATAGACCAACCCATGTCCATTCAAAATGCTTAAGTAATCTGATAATTCCTATGTATTGTTGGGCGTCATTTGGCACCATTCGGTAGAATGAAGGGATCCGACTTGTATCTCTTACCTCCTCAGTGTAAAATGAACCATATGCAAGCTGAAAGAAATTACAAGGATATTACAGAGCTACACTGGAAGCTTTCTTCCTGAACATGTGCCTCTTTCATTAAAACATCACCACCAACAAAAATGTTGAAGCAATTTGTAGTTTCCATTAAAGTTCAATCCAACAACTTTTTCAATTAAACATTTCTACAGGTTGGGACGCGGGTGGCATTGTGGTCTAAACCACTGAGCCTAGGGCTTGCCGATCTGAAGGTCGGTGGTTTGAATCTCTGCAACAGGGTGAGCTCCCATTGCTTGGTCCCTGATCCTGCCAACCTAGCAGTTCGAAAGCACATCAAAGTACAAGTAGATAAATAGGTACCATTGTGGCGGGAAGGTAAGTGGCGTTTCCGTGCACTGATCTGGTTTCGCCAGAAGCGGCTTAGCCATGCTGGCCACATGACCCGGAAAAACTGTCTGCGGACAAACGCCCACTCCCTTGGCCGGTAAAGCGAGATGAGCGCCACAACCCCAGAGTCGTTAGTGACTGGACTTAATGCTCAGGGGTCCCTTTACCTTTACAGTTATGCAAATATTTTTTACATTAAAAATCCAACAATTATATTACAGCCTTTCTGGGAAGTTGCCTTTGACTTTTGATGAAGAGCAAAACTACAGCAATAGCAAAGCTATAACGGTCCCTGGAAAGGACACAACTGTTTAATATGCAATCTTAAAAGGAGTGGAACTACTATGGGATCTTCGGGTTGTCAGTGGAGGGGTAGAATCTCAGGTGCAGGTCACATTGTGCTCCTTTTTTGGAAGTCTGTCTACTTTTGGTCTCCACCGTGCACTCAGATATCACCTTTGGCTCCTAGAAACTGTCAACCATACCCTAGGAAACAATTTTGACCAGCTGGCTAAACGAGAGGAGGGCAGCCAATGGATCTCACACCCTTGGTGAGTTATGGGTTCCCCTGCATGCAGTGGATTGAGTGGATGTGACAAAGAGTGGGTCCAAAAGTCAAGAAGGCAGTTACTGCACATGCTGTAGTGGGAAATGAGGGGTTTGAGCACCTGGAAAGGTAGTCTATCTAGGAGAAGGAAAAACTCTGATCCTAAATCTCTGCTGCCTTGTGGGATATTTCAGGATAAGAAAATCTTAAGCCGTAAACCATACACAAATCCAGAGTAGAGTCCCTAAGTCAGTTGGATGGTGCCTTGTACGCCTCCTTCTGGCAATGCCTGCAGCTAAGCTGGTGCCAAATCTATTTTCCTATGGACCACATCAGTGAAGCAAAAGGGGGGGGGAATCCTACCTGTGGAATCTTATAAAGGCCTATGATGTCTCTCATGTGGAAGGAGGTATCATAGCTAATTCCCCCGATGATGGCTATGAGGTTTTTCTGGGTGTCACATTTATAGTTGGGGACAAATCTATGTGATTTGAAGAGTAGGTCAATAGTGCTTCGATAGGTCATCCTTGCATCATGATAGCTGTCATGGATGTGGAAGCCCAGCGTGATGTTGGGTAAGATCTTGGCGTTCTCATTAATCTCTTTCACAGCAAATGCCAAGGCAAGTATGTGCTGGTAGCATTTTGTCATCATACTGCAAATGGAGTTAATTAATTTATAGTATCAAAGGAAAATTCTATAATGAAGGAAATCAGCATACCAAATATTAACCATTTCTCCCTGAATCTGCTTGTGATTTAAATGTTATTTGTTTATTCTTAATCAATCTTTTCAAGCTAAATAGCATGCAGATCATGACAATGTAGGATTCATAAGGACATTTGCATGCTGCATAGTATTTTGACACACCCACCCACTCTTAACTCTTCCTTGATCTTTTCATCTCAGTTGATTTAAGAATTGTGTGAATCTATCCCTCACATATTTCCCCTTAGGTAGGTGATCACTTTCCATACCTGGCATCTCCAGGAAGGTTTAGACTCTTGTGTAATCCTGACATTCAACACTGATGATGTTGAGCTATATGGACATTTGGGGGGACTGGGTGTAAGGCAGCATCTAATGTTCATTTTTATGGCTACCCTTAAAGTTTCTTAGAAGTTATGTCACAGTGGAATCAAGGAGATGAGTTATTATAATGGCTTTAGAAGTTCCACTAATTTTAATGGGAACTCATTTGACTTAATTTCCAGGGAAGACCTACGCATTTCTATGCAGAGTATTGTCCTATAATGTTCAGTGGGTTTAACTCTCAGGTAAGTCTTCTGAGAATTGAATTCTTAACATTTATTTATTTACATTCTGCTTTATTCCCTATAAAGATACCAGAAAATCGCTTTGTTTTATTTTTAAAATGAAAGTTAGCCTATGCTTTTTTAAAAACAAGAAACAGCAAACCAGCAGAAAAGAAGAGAGGAAAGAGAGAGACACCTTTGGATTATTTCATATGTTGTAAAAAAAGTTCTGCCAGTAAAGGTTTAAATAACATGTTCAAAGGTCTGGACAATTTATCATTTCCACAGTAGTCAGTTTTTATGCAACAAAACCTAGGGATCACAATATAGAATACATGAAGTAAATGAGAAAGGGGACAGTCCCTTCTCTAAGGTTTCAATTATAAAAGGCAGGGCACATAGAGAAAGGATGCAGAGAGGGAAATACTCTTACTGTGGAACCTGGAACAGATTTTGTGAAGGGTGCTCTTTGAAGAAAACTTCATAGAATACATAAATCAGCTGAGAAGCAATTCCACCAATGATGAGGCCACCTGGCTGATACCACTCATGTGGAACAGGAAAAGGATCACTCGGAGGGCAGCTCAAAGTCATTTCTTTGCACTCAACAGGGGACAACAGAAACATAAAAACCAAGAGCCACAACATCCTGCTTCACTAGAAATGCAGTCCTGCCTGTCACTATCAGGTTCCTGGCTTGAGCTACCTACTATGAGTGATACCCGTATTTCGCAACACTTTTCTAGAAGATAGTTCTGTGAGCTGCTTTTGAGAATCAAAAATTACAAACAAATGTATTTCATAGTAGATAAAATTGTCAACAATCTGAATTCAAGGCTGGTCAATAAAATGTGGGTGGGAGTCAGAAATGAAACTGATGAAGAGTTTCCTGTCTCTTGCCCCTATTCCCAGCTATCCATAGAACAAGTCATAATTTATAAAAGTTTTCATAGTTGCTTTTTGACTTTGTTAGTGCCTACTAAAAACCTCTCTGGCTTTGATTATGTGAACTAATTATGGTGATTTGGATGGTTGCAGGGAGAGATAATAACTTTCTTAGATGTTCTTTTCTTCCCTTCCTCAGAGAGCCACTTTTGGGTGTTTGTTACCTCTGCTCCTTTGTGGCACAACAAATCCCAATTGGCTTTCAGTTTCCCCATGTGAGTCAATGCCAATCAGAGTGAAGTTGTTTTCTTTGGGCTAGCAAAGCACCAAATCCTAATACAACACTTTTAGCCCAACCCAAGCAGTTAATATTTCTCTACACAATAAAAAAGGGTTGGCCAGAAGAGTCCAGTCATTCATATGTGAAAAAGATATGGTTATATTGTCGGCATCCGGGGGTCAAAGGGCCAGCTGGCTAGCCCCCAGCTGGATCGTCTCCTTCCAGACATCATGCTGCAAAGATACCTTGACCTCTGGTGCGGCATAAATCAGTGACCCAAGTCTGCTGACATGGTTCACACTTTATTTAGCAGAGCAAACCGCGCAATGAAAGAGGCTTGAGGCTTCTGGAGACATACTATATACTACGGATTTATTAAACATAAATCAGGACAAGGAAACATGTCGTCTCTCTTTGCCGTTTCTTCCGAGAGAGAGAGAAAAGCAAAAGCAATACAACACAGCGGAAGTTCCACTTACGCCAGCAAACAGTGCTGGAATGTAAACAGACATGTGACATGTAACAATCCCACGTCTGTAACTAAAGGTAGAATGGAAATGCCCCAAGCATTATGTGAATTACTCTTTGAGCTGAGCTGTCCACTTCTTTGCCATCCCCCATTACATGGAGAATAGAGGGTGGAGGGTGAATCTGGAAATGTATCTGCAATGTTCAGCCTTTCCAGATGTTTCAGTTCCCTGAAGAGTCATGACATTCCCCACTAACATTTCTATAGGTGTGCAAATCAGTGGAAGCTGCAAACTCTACTACTGACATATGTTCTTTTTTATATACAGTGGTACCTCTGCTTACATATGCTTCAGGTTACATATGCTTCAGGTTACAGACTCCGCCAACCCAGAAATATTACCTTGGGTAAAGATCTTTGCTTCAGGATGAGAACAGAAATTGTGCAGCTGCGGCACGGCGGCAGCGGGAGGCCCCATTAGCTTCAGGTTAAGAACAGTTTCAGGTTAAGAACAGACCTCCAGAACGAATTAAGTACTTAACCCAAGGTACCACTGTATAAATGTGCTTATCTGTTTAAGTAAAACGATGAACATCCTTGAAAAACAATATAAGCAAGTGTACTGATTCAAATTGGTGAGGAGCCAGCGTCACAAGCTTCCTGAACTTACATTAAAGTCCAGGGAGGTGCATCAAATTGTGATCAGAAGGCACAGAAGAAATATTTGATAAAAGAAAAACACTCTTTCCAATGTCAGCAATCTCACAACCCAGAGCTAAATTCAACACTCTCCCACCCCCAGTGAAACATCAAAGCAGCATGAAAATGAGGTAGTAAGATGTAATACTCAAGCACAGGAGAAGGAAGCTTGGAGAAATTGGAGGATAAAGTTTAGCACAGCATTGGTAGTATCCACCATGTTACTTAGATAAAAAAAAATCATCTTCATTTCCACTTTTGTCCTCCCCAATTTCTCTAATGCAGAGGAATTACAAATACAGTTTGTGCAAAGAAAACCATAAATAAAAAGTTTGTTTCTGTACTCTTTTAGAAAACAGGAAGCATTTTTATTTTATTTTTAATAAAGAAGAAAAGCCATTTTTCCTGTCTACAAGCTTACTAGAAGATGACTCGGGAGGTGACCGAAACTGAGTCTCTCAGGTGTGGATAAATGTGATTTATTGTCAATTATTTAAATCATTTCTTGTGAGCTGGCACAATATTTTTTTTTAATTCAGGCCAAGCAGTATTATTATCAAAGTTCAAGGACATATTCCAGGCAGGCAAAACCTCAGGATATGAAGCAGAGCCAGTGAGGAATATAACCTGGAAAGACTTCTGAGGGCCTGGAACAGACATTCAGAGGGCATAGAGCCCCTTGGACTGAAGTTCCCTCTCTCCCATTGCATTGAAACAATTTATCAGGCACCTACTAAAACATTCACATAAGAAGTCCTTAATATATTGGGACCGGTTTACTTTAGGGATTGCTTTAACTCACACGTGCCGGTCCAATAACTTCCATGTAAAGAACTTAAGCTTCTTCCAGTGCCCTGCAGTGTCTGTTATGCATGTTTAAAGAGTTTAAAAATACATAAATAAATGTGGCAGCACCTTTGGAACTCCTATGAACTTTAGGTGTTCGCAATACTTTAACTCTTTTAGATGCCTGCTGAAAACGTTTTTTCTTTTTGTGGGCCCATCCAAACAGTTGATTTGTTCTGTTCCATATTAGTCAGCAAGGTATTTGAGGTTCAAGGAAGACTCTCAGAACTTTAATTTTAGTTAACATGTTTCTTTATTTAAGGAAATATAATTTGGAATTAAAGAACAGAGTAATATAAGGTAAATCAGTCCCAGTGTAGTGTAGTGGTTAAGAGCGGTAGACTCGTAATCTGGTGAACCGGGTTCGCATCTCCGCTCCTCCACGTGCAGCTGCTGGGTGACCTTGGGCCAGTCACACTTCTCTGAAGTCTCTCAGCCCACTCACCTCACAGAGTGTTTGTTGTGGGGGAGGAAGGGAAAGGAGATTGTTAGCTGCTTTGAGACTCCTTACGGTAGTGATAAAGCGGGATATCAAATCCAAACTCTTCTTCTCTTCTTCTTCCATATAAGAGAATAGGAAGTAATTCAAAGTTATCAAAGCCACCATTCATTCCACACTTTCCAATGCATTTCTCTATTGCTTCCCTACCCACAAAACTCCATTTTTATTCATAAGTTTCTTGCTTTAAGGCAGGAGTCAGTAACATTTCCCCACAGTTGGCCAGATTGATCATTCTCCCAGGCCTTGAGGGCCAAAGTTTGGTACTTGAAAGGGGCCAGCAACCCGTCTGTCACTGGGTGTCAGAAGGCAATGATTCTTTTAAATGGACAGCTACAAAGAGGCTTGATCAATGAGGTGGAAGCAGTTTCTCTATCAAAAACCAAGCTCCCCTCCCCTTGCATCCATTTTATTAGCACTTTAATGGAAACTACCACCCTCCCCCTGCCCGGAAAGTTGTTCCTCGCTCAAGAGCTAAGGTGACAGAGCATTTTAATTTGCTTTAATTTCACAACACTTAACTTTCCCGCCAAAGTGTATCACACTGGAGGAGGTACTCAAAGTAACCACTTTAATACTAAAATCCCTTATGTATAACAATAGAATAGAAAGAAGAAGGAAGGTTGAATTTACATCCTTCTCCTTATCAGTTGCTCCCTGTTGTTCAGCTCTGGCTTCAGAATAATGATGTAGCATTTAGGGGCAAAGATGCAGACAAACAACCCAGCACTGGAGGACAAGATAGAGAAGATCTCCACCACCACCATGGATTTCCCTTTAGTGCTTAGGTAAGTTGGAACAAAAGACAACCAAACACTGCAGAACAGCAACATGCTGAAGGTAATGAACTTGGCTTCATTAAAAGTGTCTGGCAATTTGCGAGCTGCAAATGCCACAATGAAGCTGGCAATGGCCAGGAGGCCCATGTAGCCCAAGACACAGTAAAACATGGTCACCGAGCCTTCGTTACATTGCACAATGGTTTCTTCCATTACCGAGTGCATGTCTTGATCTGGAAATGGGGAAGAGGTCATCAACCACCCAGTACAAATAATCGCTTGAACGAGGGAGCAGGAAAGGACAACGGAGTTGGACAGCTTTTTCCCTACCCACTTCCTCATACTGGACCCTGGCTTGGTGGCCATGAAAGCTGCAACTACAGTGATGGTTTTGGCCAACACACAGGAAACTGCCACAGAGAAGACGATGCCAAAGTTGGTTGCCGAAGAAGGCAGGTCACTTCCCCAGGGCGTCCAATAAACAGAAAAGATGAGAGGAAGCAGAATTGGAGGGCGATGAGGAGAGTGTAGGTGAGATCCCTGTTGTTGGCTTTGACAATAGGAGTGTCTTTGTGCTGAATAAACGCTGCAAGCACCAAAGTTGTGATCAGGGAAAAAGAAAGAGCAAGTGAGGCCAAGCTGATCCCTAAAGGTTCTTCATAAGAAAGAAAGTTGATAGTTTTAGGGATACAACCATTTTTCTTCTTGTTTGCATACTGATCTTCTGGGCATCTGAAGCAGTCAGCCGTATCTGACAAACAGAAGAAAGCCAAACTCCATTTGCAATTCATCTGTGTTTTATGCTGACTATGTAGCCATTATTGATCCTGTTGATCTACTTCGAACCTTCTTTATTGTCAGAGAGCTGGTTGTATATTTGAATTATTCATTACATTGCTGCTGAATCTGACAGAGGTTTTGTGGTTTTTTTACATTTTTTTTTAAGTGGCCATGCTGTGGCACCAAGATGACATAGTGAGTGGAACCTTGGTTTTTTGGGTGGGCAGTTAACAGAGATTCCCCCCCCCCCAAAAAGGTCTTTTGCTCCCATATTCATTTGTCTCCAGGTTAGAATGTTTTTGCCTTTCCTTCAGTAAGTGCCAGTAGCCATTGCTAGGCATTCTAAAGCCTTTGTCA